TATGAGGTGGGTTTTGTCGAAGGCTGAGGTATGCTCAGCCGCTCCAGAGTCCAGCGAAGGTCCCACTAACCCCCACCAAATAAAACACAATGATTTGTGTATTAAGTCGAACACACCCACACACACACGCGGCTATCTAGAAGGCCCGGCAACTTGTCGTGCAGGGGAGAGCGGAAGGTAAAGAAAGAGAGTTGGCAGTCGGTGTCGGAGATTATTCGGGGGGTAATTGTACGGTGACGGGAGTGCTACTGGTGACAGCAAGATTGGCAGTGGTACGCGTCAGTCGTAGTGAAGAGCGTGGCAATGAGAGCAGTCGCGGCGGTTGTGACGGCGACTGCGACGGCTGCCTGCAGTTCCCTTGAAGTGGTGGTGGCGGCCTCAGCGGTGACGTGGCAGCGGCCCTGGTTGGCGATAGTTAGCGTTCGCAGTCCTCGGTTATGATGGCGGGCGGCCTTGGGGCGGCAGTGGTAGTGGCGGCCCCTGTGATGAGATGATGATGATTATTGCGGCGGCCCTGGATGACAGTGAACAGCGGGCGGTCTTTGGTAGCGATCTCGGCTTTAGGGCGGCAGCGGTACTGGCGGTCCAGATTGGTGACTTACGGACAACTGATCATTAGTGCGGTCCCCCAGGGCATCGAAAGGTTGCCCAGTCCCCCCGTCAGTGATCGGACTTCTACCACATTGTGGTAGATCTGCCACGTTTTTGAGCATCTAACACGTCTACCACACAAGGTCTGAAATCTAGCACATATTCGTGTTTTTGAGTAGTTTTTTTTGCTCGATATAATTTTCTAAATTTTAAGAGCAAAAATTGTCCAACACTAAACACTAGCAACAGGCAGAATGGGAGGATAAAGTAAACTGTAACAGGCTAACCTAATATTCACGCACGCGCCAGTTTACTGTCAAAAATTTCTCATGCACATACAACTTGTATGGGACCAACCAAAATTTAACGGCGTGTGTATGAAGCTAACTCAATTTCCAATTTTTGTTCTGCGTAACATTTTGATTTGACGTTTCGCTCAATGAAATCAAATGCAAACGCACGCACGCACGTGCGTACCAAAACGCAAGCCGCGAATATTAGGTTAGCCTGTTAAATAGTTAATTTTCTCAATATTAATATTATCGACAGGAAACGTGGATTTATTGTGTTTGCAAAATATATGACTTATAAAAGTAATGAATAGCGAAAATGTTAAAAAAACGGCAATTTTTGTGAAAGTATTAGCAAATTTCAGTACATCTACTGTTTCTAAAGCGTTGTTTACTTTTATTTGAGCCACACTTGTTCGCTACATCGTGATGTGATAAAAA